TGGCTTCTTGCTTGCGGGTATCGGCGAGCTCAACAGCAAGCGCACGAAGAACTTCCTCATCGTGGACAACAAGACCAAGCTGGGTCAGGTCGAGGAGGCCTTCAGGGAATTCACCGCTCGGGAGGACCTTGCCATTCTGCTCATCTCTCAGCATGTGGCCAACGACATCCGCCACCTGCTCGACGAATACGATCGCCTTCTTCCCACGGTCCTCGAGATCCCATCCAAGGGTGCGGCCTACGACATGGCCAAGGACTCGCTCATGACCAAGGTCCTCCGCATGCTCGGCACCTCCGCTGACGCCCCCGACATCGACGACGAGAGCACCTCGCACCACTAAATGACCCCCATTTTCCGTTCGCCCTTTCTCTCTTCTCACGCCCCTTCACCACGTCAGATTGTCTTCTTGTTATTTAAGCAGCGTCCTCCCATAAAGACTTGGCCTCGCTACACTACATCAGATCCAAATCAAATAACAATCAAAGAGTGTAAATAAATAAGTCCTGTTGTGTTGTGTTTCCGTCATGGCGCTATCTACACCATGTCCATCACTCCATCTCTCTCTTTTCATTGCTTGCTCACACGCGTCCGTGCGCGTACTGCTGTTCCTCCGCCTCGTCGTAGTAGTGGTCCTGCAGGTCGGCCGCGGGGATCTCGTCGTAGCCTCTCCGGCGGCTGAAGCGCTCGTAGAGCTTGACGCCCACGGCGATCAGCACCAGGACCACGATCGCCAGCACGATCACGGCCAGGATCCACGTCATGTCCATGACGAACGGCGGCGGTCCATCGTCTTCCTCTTCTTCATCATCGTCATCGTCGTCATGGTGGCTGGGCGACGGCGACGGCGAGTGCGAAGAGCCGGCTGATGGCGTGGCTGACGGTGAGGGCGCGCTCGAAGAGTTAAACGACGGCGATGGCGACGGCGTCAACGCCACCGACGGCGTGTGGTGGAAGGTGGGCGACGACGACAACGACGGCGACGGCGTCGGTGAGAGCGGCGAAGGCGTAGCCGACGGCGACGCCGACGACGTAGGCGACGGCACGTAGGACGGGGAAGGCGACGGCGACACCTCGCTCCCCGCAGCCGACGGCGACGGCGACACCTCGCTCACCACGGCCGACGGCGACGGCGAAGGTGAGGGCGACGGCGACGACACAGCGAGTGGGGCCGAGGGCGCATCGGCGAGGACGGCCGTGTGGAGGAGGTCCACCCACGCGGCGCCGTCCTGGGTGCCGTCGGGCGCGGCGTCGGCAAAGTCCCAGGCGAGATAGATCACCCGCCCGGCGCCGTAGCTCTGCCGCACCACCGAGCATGGCTGGGCCGCGTCGTCCGCCGCGGTCGAGTAGAGGCAATACTGGTCGGGCACGCCGACCACCTCCCACGATGCGGCGAGGGCCGGGAGACCGGCGGCAGCGGCGGCGTAGGGCGTGCCGGCGACGGCGGAGGTCGCGAGGGCGGGCGATGATGAGGCGGCCGAGGCCTGCGCGTAGTCGAAATCGAAGAAGAGCTGGCCGAGCACCGCGGCATCGCGTCCGGCCTGCACGAAGAGGCCGCCGGCCGCCGTCCAGTCCCGGATCACTTCGACCAGCGACGAGGACCCATTGAAGTAGGCCACGGCGCTCTCGGCGTAGTTGGAGCCCTGGCCAGGCGCCGCCACCACCAACACCTGCACACCATTTTTATTAATTACAAATTTATTCATTTTAAATAAAGTGATTGATTACCCAAATCACACATATAGGAGTGAATAAACAAATAATAAAATAATAAATGATTACTTCAATAATCAATAACGGAAGGAGGAGTATACTTGGGAGGAGGCGAGGAGGAGTGCCCACTGCTGTGGGTCGGCGGAGGTCAGGAGGGCGGGGTCGAGGGTGCGGCTGGCGGTGCGGTCGGGGCTCAGCGCCTGGCGCACGCCGTAGGCGCCGCCCTCCGGGTCCGTGGTGCCCACCCACGAGGGGTCGAAGGCCACGGCCACGGACACCGGTGGGCTGCTCTCCTGAGCCCGCACCAGAACTATGGAAGGAGATGAGGAGAGTAGGAGAAGGAAAAGAACGAAGGCGAAGGTAAAGAGCGAAAGAGAGAAGAGCGGAGCGCGGTGGCCTCGCAGCGAGGCTGTAGCGGTTGTCATGGTTTGCTGCGATGTCCTCTCCAACAGCTGGGAGTATGTGTGGCGTGATGGCAGAAGCGAAGTGGGCGGAAGATGAAATCAGATAGCCGGTGCGCCAGCTTCTGGCGGCAAAGAACGAGGTTGTGCAGAGAAGTGGCACCGATGGCCCATTGGGCCAACCGAGAAGGGCAACGAGATTCTCAGTTCTCGCCCCGGACCATTCCGAGCATTCTTCGTTTATTTTCCTTTTGTGTCAGTTTAGCACCCGTTCGCAAAATAGTGGCAAAAAAAGAGAAAAGAAAAGAATGGCCAAAACCTCCAGGTTCAGACGCCGAGATCTCACTTCCCACCTGGCCCGCGTGCCCAGTTCTTTCTTTCGCAAGAAACACCGTGGCATTTGGGTTATGCGGCTTTGTGGGCGCCCCCTTTTCTTCTGACGTCAGGCCACTGCACCGCAGAGGCAGGTGAAGAGAGATTAATCTCTGGATTTTTGTTAGACTGGTAGACCTCCTGGCGAGGTGATAGACGGAAGGCCCTCCCTTGATCAGTCCTGAACCAAGATGACGCGCGTGGACAAGGCGACATCGGGTCTCGATAAATCGGATCCGCTCGTCGCTGAAGCTCTACGCAGCGTGCGAGGTCCGGAAGCCACATGTGACTGGTAAATCTCCACTCAACCGACCTTTCTCTTGAAGAAAAGAACGCAAGCTATGAGGTGGGGGCCGAGGCTCAGCTGAGTGCCAACAACAACAACAACAACAACAACAACCACAGGTGTTATTGCGTTCTGGAGACATCCGTCGACCGCGATAAGAATGCTGGACAGACGTGCGTTCTTGTGCTACGGTCGAATCCTCTTTCGTTTTCACGAACGGCGGGGTGTGGTGTGCAGGGGTCACCTCCTGAGCGAGACACCCAGCTTGGTGTTCAAGGCCAAGGGCGAGGGTGGGCTCACAGAGCTCCAGCAGCAGTTCACCGGTATGTAACCTCCTTCACGATTGACGTGCTGCCTCAGTGACTCACCACATGTTCTTGTTCTTCAGACGACACCGTTGGCTTTGCTCTGCTCAAGTACCTCTTCGGTGCCCAGCAAAGGGAAAAGTACGCGCCTCATTCTCTCTGCCCTCGAATGTACTCGTGGTGGCTCACCAACGGCGCACATGCGTACAACACACCACAGATGCGTGTTCATTGCGTGGGTGGGGGACGACGCACACTACTCCAAGAAGTCCAGGGCGTCGGCGTACAAGGGGGACGTCATCAAACTCTTCTCCGTACGCAGCCGCTTCTCGTCCACGTCGCTTACCCGAGTTGGCCACCACTCACTCTCCCTATGTATTCTTCCACCACCCTCATGTACATACATGAGCAGCCCTACAACCTGGCCATGCAGGCTTCCCACAAGTCTGAAGTGACCGAGAGCGACATCATGAACCGGCTGCGGGTGGGCGTCGGCGCCGGCTCGACGCGCCACAGCCTTCAGCCAGGCCAGCTGAAGGACCTGACCCAGTCTGGCGAATCCCACAACGGCACCAGCAACGGCACCAACGGGGAGGTGAGCGCCACCGACGAGGACATGCTGGCCTACAACCAGATGGACCAGATGATGATCAAGCCGCACGACCGCAAGACCAACTTTGCGCTGCCCAAGAAGGAGGAGAATCACCTCTCGCGCTACATGATCCCCGGATTCAACCCGGCCGCCGCCCTCGACATGTCGGGCAGCGGCGACGGCGGCGCATCGAACAGCGGCAACGGCAATCCGCCGCCCGTGTCGATGGTCATCAAGCGGCAGCGGCGGCGGTCGGCCAACAGTCTCTCGTTCTTCGCCGAGTTCCTCCTGCTGCCCAAGGACGTGCAGGAGCAGGAGCTCGACCACCTGGAGACCACGAGCTCCACCTCCACCCTCCAGCAGCAGCACCACCACCAGGAGGCCATCGAAAAGGCCAAGGCCAACCGGCAGGCCGAGACCGGGGGCCGCGGCATCCGGCTCAAGCGCAAGAGCCACGACGTGGTGGCCGAAGAGGCGGCGGCGAGCCGCGTGGTAGCGCCGGACTCTCAGCCGGCCGCCGCCACCGACACCACCGCGGCCTCCCAGCAGCCGGCCCCGCGCGCCGACGCCTCGGCGGCGGCCAAGACCGAAACGGCGGAGGCAGCGCCGCCGACAGAGAAGCCGACGGAGGCCGACTCGCCAGCGCCCACGAGCAGCACAGCGGCCACCGCCGTCGCCCGGAGGATTGCAGCCAAGGCCGGCGAGAACGAGATGGAAGCCAAAGAAGCGGCGAAGGCGAAGGAGGTGGACACGACCAAGAAGAAGCCGGCTGACGTTCAGGGGACGGTGACGGCCGAGGCCGACGCGCCGACAGGAGCGGCGTCGGCGGTGGCCCCCGCGGCGGCCGACGAACCTGCGAAGAAGAAGGCGCCGCGGGTGGGCCTCAGGTTCGAGAAGCTGGCGGCGGACCAGGAGCCGCGGCCAAGGCACACCCTCAGCGGCAGCCGCACGAGCCGAGACGACCGGCACCCGCTGCACCGCGACAAGGACAGCCACCACCACCATCATCATCACAAGAAGGACAAGAAGGAGAGCAAGGACGACAAGAAGAAGAACGACGACAAGAAGAGCGAGCAGAAGGGCGAGAAAAAGAACGAAGAGAAGAAGGGCGACGAAAAGAAGAAGAAGGAAGAAGAGGGCGACAAGGAAAAGAAGCAGCGGAGAGCGGGTACCACGATCGTGGCGCCGGGCGGGAACGTGATCGGAGGCCGCGCGCGGAGCGGATCAGGCGGGGGCGGCATCATGGTGGGCGGGAGCATGATCGGAGGCCGGGCGGGGTCCAGCAGCAGCAGCAGCAGCAGCAAGGCGGTGGACAAGGAGGGCGGGAGGGATCGGATGGCTCACCTCCACCGCGAGAGGAATGACGACGCGCAAACAAAGGAGAAGACAAAGGAGAAGGAGGAGGCCGGCAAGACGAGGGCGAAGAGCGGAGGAGACACGGAGAAGGAGGCCGCCGCCGCCACGACGACGACGACGCCTCACAAGAAGGAAAAGCGAGAGAAGAAGGAGAAGAAGACAAACAAGAAGGAGGAGGCCCACAACACGAAGGCGAAGACGAAGACAAAGAGCGGGGACAGCGAGAGGCCCACGGAAAAGGAAAAGGAAAAGGAAAAGAAGAAGGAAAAGGAGAAGGAGAAGAGGAGTGGAGCAGGAGAGGCCGGCGAGAAGGAGCGCGAGAGGGCGAAGGGCAGGGAGGGCGGCAGGAAGGAGGAGGAGCAGAAGGAAGCGAAGAGGGAGCAGAGGAGCGGCGGCGGCGGCGAGGCCGACGACAAGGAATCCAAGAAGGAGGCCACGACAGGAAAGAAAGAAGAAAGAGAAAGCGGAGGAGAAGAGCAGCGGCGAGAGTAGCAAGGCGCGGGAGAAGGACAAGAAGAGCACGAAGGACCGGGAGAAGAAGGCCAAGGAAAAGAAAGAAGCCGAGAAAGAGAAGAAGGAAAAGAAGGACGCAGAGAGAGAAAAAGAAAAAGAAAGGGGAAAGGAGAAGAGGCGGGAGCGCGGGAGCTCGGTCGGGGAGAGGAGCGAGAGGAGGGCCAGGGAGGACCGGATGAGGGACGACGCACCTCCGATGCCGGCGGCCGAGGCGGTCGCGCGCCGGGAGAAGGCGCGCAGCGGGCGGAGCGGCAGCGCCGTCCTCCACAGCAGCGCGCCCGGCGACAGCAGCAAGCGGTCCTACGCACGCGGCGCGGAGTCCAGCAGCAGCGGCAGGAAGGAGAGCGGCAGCTCCATCCGGGCCTCGCGGCCGGCGCCCGTCCAGCCCGACGAGAACGACGCGGCGCCGGAGAAGGCCACCACCACCACCACCTCCGCCAAGAAGAAGGTGGAGAAGGAGAAGGCCAACGGCGGCGGCGGCAGCAGCAGCAGCGGCAAGAGAGAGGAGAAGGGCGAGAGGGCGGCGCGGAAGGAAGAGAAGGGAGCGAGCAGGGAGCAGGGGGAGGGCGAGAAGGAAGCCACGCACCCGGCAGCCGCGGCGGCGGCGGAGGCGTCGACGCCAGGACCCGACGCGTCGTCGTCGAAGCACCGGAAGAGCGTCTCGGGCAAGGGCAAGGCGCCCAAGGGCTAAGCGGCGGCGGCGGCAGCAGCCCAGCGATGTGGGCAGCGCGATGGTGGAGGGCGCGCCGAAGTAAAAGGCTGAGAAAAGGCGGCGCATTATTTATCAAACCATGGTAACTCGTGCATGACCCACATGCACGCGATGTGTGTATGGGGAGTTGAAGGGACTCGATCGTCACCCCCGCCCGTAGGGCTGTCACCCACTACATCACTGGAGGAGGCCTGGGATGAACGTGTTGAGGAGGTGCATCGCGTTGGCCTCCGCTGCCGTCAGCTCCAACACCTGGCGGAAGCGGAGAGAGAGCAGAGAGCGCGTGAGACGACGATGAAGAGGAGCGGTCACTGAGGTGCGGTGGGTAGGGCAGTACCTTCTTCTGCAGGACGGTGAGGGGCTTGCTGGTGAGGTTGGACAGGGAGGGGAGCGCCGAGTTGCGCTGCGGCTGCGTCGGCCTCCACTCCTCGAACACGTACTCCTGCACAGTCCAGCCATCGCCACCGGTGAGCCCGACACCGGTGGCTCCACCAAGGGCGCGGGCGAGGGAGTAAAGTACCTGGCGGTGCGCGGTCGGCGTGGTCGATTTGTCGACGTGGACGAACAGCTGCGCCAGCTTGGCGTCGCCCGACTGCAGCTTGGCGATGATGCTCTTGTCCGAGGGCACTGATCGCGCACACCGCACACCGCACACCGCACACCGCACACCGCACACCGCACACCGCACACCGCACACCGCACACCGCACACCGCACACCGCACACCAGTCAGTCGCGAGGCGTGCACACAACACGCGTAATCGCACGCGGTGATGAGGCGGGCGCGCACGAAAGGAGTTGGGCGTCTGGATGCGCAGGAGGACGCCCTCGTCGTCGACCACCACGACCCGCATGCAGCGCCATCGGGTGCCCAGGTTGACTGTCGACCGCGGCCAAAGACCGCCCCGGTCCCGCGTGTTAGTTGACCGGGGAGAGCGAGATCGGGATTGGGGGCGCGCGTGGCGTACCGGTGAGCGAGGTGATGGCCTTGGCAAACTCTTCGGTCCGGAGCTTGGCGATGTTGGTCTTGAGGGTCTCCGAGATGGCCCGGTCTCTCAGCTTGCTCGCCTGCTTCAGCTCCGCATAGGCAGCTGCACGCATGTCGCGGCGATGTTTGCCGATCGCTGGTGTGAGAAAACCACAAACCACACACGCGCGCGCGCGACTAGAAATGAAGGGGAGGAGCAGGGGTGGGGGTACGGTGGGATTGCAGCCTCGCGAGTTCGATGGCCTGCTGCAGGGCGCGGTTGATCTCCTCCTTCTCCTTCTCCTCGTGGGCCAGATCGAGCGACTTTTGCAGGGCCTAATACCGGGGTACCCGCCGCGCACCCACAAAACCAATGGTTTTATACCGCCGCGTCAGCATCCCCTCCCCAATACCCGCAGCCAATCGAGGCGGAGTTCGTTAGGAAATGGGGGAGGGGGGGGGTTACATCGACAGCCTCGGCGTGCCTGTCGAGTGCCATCAGGGCGGTACCCTGGCGGTAGTACCCTGCCGTAGGTGAGTTTGGGGGGGGGAAGGGGGAAGGACAGGCCACAGTGTGCGCGCTCGTGTCAGCAGCCGCCGTGCCGGCGCCAGAGAGAGAGAGAGAGAGAGCTTTGATTGACGGGGTGTTGATTGGATAGGCGGGGTGCGCACCCTTGGGCCAGCTGGGCGAGAGGGCCACGGTGGCGAGGGCGTCCTCGAGCGCGCGTGAATGGGCGCCGAGCCTCGCATTCACCATCGAGCGATTGCTGGTTACGCCCCCCCCCCTCCCCGTCAATCTCCAAGTCAGCCACACTATGGTGGGTACCACACGACACACGACACACACGTCACATACGACACACATACGACACACACGACACCTGTAGTAAACGTGGTTGTCGGGGTCGAGGGTGATGGCCGTGCTGTAGTGCAGCACCGCCTTCTTGAATTCCTTCTTTCCAAACGCGGTGTTGCCCAGAACCTTCTCCTGCTCAGCCTGCATTCCATATAGGATCAATATTCCATACGTATAGGGTCAATATTTATTAATAATAAATATATCTTTCTTTATATTTAAAATAAATAGATATTTAAGCCTATCGAAAATAAGAATAATAATCGTGGGGGAGGGGCATACCTTCTTCTTGTCCGCCTCGGACACCACCTTGCTGCCGGGGCGTGGGGCACTCGGAGTGGGCGCGGCCTCGGGCTTGCGCTGCCGGGGATGTGAGGTTCCCTGCTCGTCTGCCGGACAACGACGACGACGACGACGACATAGCCCGAGGAAGTAGAAAAGGGGCGTCAGCCTCGTCGCGACGAGCGTTGATGGGAGGGGAAGGGAGCGGTCGTGTACTCTGGATGGCCTCTTCGCATCTCTTGATCCAGTCGCACCAGCCGGGGCTGCCAAGCATATTTGTGTGACACATATACACACATATAAATAAAAAATGATTAGTACGACGACGACGATGACAATGGGTGAGGCCTGGCAGCCCAAAGAAAAGGAGCGAGAGAGGCGGCACCTCTTCTGGTTGATGCGTTTGCCCCGCACGAACACCTTGTGGGCCATCTCGTACTCGCCCAGCTCAAACAGCGCGATGCTGCCACACCCGACGCCAGGCCACCATGAGTCGTTCGCCAAGCGCGAGCGACCGCTGCTGTACGACACACACACCCCTGGCGACACACACACACACACATGCGGGGCTCTCGGGAGAGGTGGTACCCTTTGCGCAGGTGGGCCTTGTCGTGGGTGGGATCCAGCTGGATGGCCCGGCTGCAGTCGTCCAACGCCTCTGCGGAGGCCGTGCGTGCGTGCAGGGACATGCGCGAATGTGAGCTAAGCGACCGGTCGGGGGACGGGGAGGTGAGTACCCATTTGGTTGCGCATGTAGAGGTGTGCGGCAGCGCGGGCGGCAAAGTGGTCTGCACGCGGCTGGGGCGACTGGTCGATGGCTTGGCTGTACGCCTGCAGCGCCCCCGCGTAGTCCTCATCCACGAACAGCGCGTTGGCCCTTTGGAACAGCTCTACACACACCACCCCCACACATAGGCACATATGTAGCGCATGAAACACACACGCACAGCGGGGGGGGGGCGCTTGCATTGGAATGGGAAAATACTGCATTAAAATGAGGAGATTGCGCCATGTAAATCGATGAACGCACTCCAGCTTCAGGAAGGAGGTGCGGTGATCATACCCTCAGCTGCCTCCATCCTTCGTGCTCGCGTGCTGAGCGCTCCTCTTCGTCCGCCTTTTCCTGCTCAGCAGTACTTTCGGTATCCCGTGGTGGCTGCGTGCTTGTCAAAACGTGGCATTATTATATCCAAAGTTTGCTCGGTTGGACCAACGGGGCCGGTTGGACGTAATATACACCACCAACAGCTCCCTCCGTCACGCAGCATAACACGTCGGGTGCCGGACCAGGGCCGAGAAGAGGAGACGAGGAGGAGGGTAAGGAAGAAAGATGGAGCAGAGCAGCCAAACGCTCCGCACCAGACGCCGCCCGCCAAGCGGGCTCCTGTCGAGCAGTACGCCCCCCCGCTCAACCCTTCAACCACTCCGAAGCTCTTCAGAGGCCCAACCCCCCCTCCTCCCGTTGTGCATCTGTCGTACTAATATAACTCCTGGAAATGGCCACATATTATGTGTATGGTCCATGATCATCAACAACAACAACGGCAACCTAAGGTTTGTCGGCCGGGGCGAGCGAGGCGCACAGCGTGGCCCCGACCACGGAGGGGGAAGAGTCGGAGGGCTCCGGCGACTATGACAGCGAAGAGCTCGAGGAGATCTTCTCCATCGGTACCGCACTCTTCCTTTCGTCCTCGTCCTTGCTCTTCGGGGCGGTGGTGGTCCTGGAAAGCCCTTGGACCCGGCGTGCCTTCTGATGTGCTGCACCACTGCTGTGGTCGGCTCTCGCGCATGCACGCGCATGCACGCGCATGCAGACGAGTGGCTCAAGGACCTGGACCACAACGAGATCAAGCACACGGCCAAGATCGAGCACAAGAAGCGCGAACGACGCGACCGATTCCCCAGGCACCCCCCCCCAAACCCTCTCCAAACAAGCCAAGTACCGCGCGCGCGATGGTCTTCTCTGATCTTTAGTCTTCCTCTCTGTTATCGTCACCACCTCGACCACCACTGGCTGCAGGCTGTCGGTGAAGCTGACGCTGGTCTTGAAGGGGAGCCGGAGCCGGGCGCTCAACTCGCCCAAGTCCGTCTCCGCTCGGTACGTCCCCCGGCGCATTTCCCCGCCTCTCCGTTTAGTCGACTCGCGCTGCGCACCTTGTGACGGCTGACCGCTGGCGCGCGCGCGTGCGTGAATGGCAGCCCGTCGAGCCCTCCGGCGCCGGAGGAGAGGGACGAGCAGGCTCGCACGGGGGGCAAGAAGCAGAAGCCCCGACCGCGGAGCCTGCCGCGGCCCCTCTCGCCCCAGCACCACCACCACCAGCAGCAGACCGGCGCCAAGCATGCCGTCTCGTCCGACGCCACCAGGCGCATTCCCACCATCAACGCCTCCGCCGCTGCCGCGGTGGTCACCACAGAGACGACAGCCACGGCGACCTCTTCTTCTTCACCATCATCGTCGTCCCCGAAGAGGCCCACGCTACGAGATGTGGCGGAGGGCGGGCACGATCGAAGCGACGCAGCAGCAGCGGCACGAGGGGCAAGAAACGGAGAAGAGGAGGAAGACGACGACGACGACCTGGTGGAGCACCCCTACGTGACAAAGAAGCGGACGAGCAGCTTCACCGCCTTCCTCACGCCGCGGCGCCGCGCCCACACCCAGTCCGACGACTCGCACCCGGCCGTGGCGAAAGTTGAACACAGCCCCAGCCGCCAGCACCAGGAGAGCCTGTGGCGACGTAGCATCACCCTCATGGGCTGGAAGTCGCCCCGCAACCACCACCACAACAAACAGCAGCAGCAGCAGCAGCAGGCCCGCAGCCCCCGACGCGGCAGCGACGACGACCACTACGATTTTAACTCCGATCCAGCTGCGGACGAACATCATCGCGAAGGTGCACGCGACGAAAAGAACGAAGAGCAGGGGGAGAAGGGGGAAGGCCACGACAACCATCATCATCATCATCATCAAGACAGGGCGGGCAGCGGCAAGCACGACCGGCGGGGAAAGAAGAAGCAGCGCGCGGAGGGTGAAGAGGCGGAGGAGGAAAAGAACGAAGACGGCGACGACGCCGGCGAAGGCGAAGCTGAAGGCTTCTGGCGTCGGAACTCGCGTCGGCTGAGCCTGCTCATCAAGTCGCCTCGCCGGCGGAACCACAACACGTCGGCCGCTGCCGTGGCGGTGGCGAGCGAGCGGATGGAGCACGCCGAGCGCACATCGTCGACGACGCAGGCCCGAGAGCTGCAGCGCCGGCGCGACACAGAGGTCGACGAGGCGTCGGCGTCGTCCATCTACCTCCGCATGCAGCTCGACTTCGAGGCCCGGCTGGCCGCGCGCCCGCCCACGCCCTCCCACAGCCCGCGCAACGACGACGACATCGACAACGGGGGCGCGTGGACGATCGATCATCAGTTCTCGGGTCAGCATCAGTTGCACAATCCACATCAGCAGCGGCAGCAGCGGTGGCTGGGTGGTGATGATGACGGGGAAGAGGTGATCGCGCTCGAGAGCGGGCGGCACTACGGGCGGCGGCGGGGGTCGAGCACTGTCTTGTACTCGCCGCGCCCGGCCACGACGTCGATGATGGCGGCGCGGGCGATGGAGCTGGCAACCAGCCAGGCGGCGATCAGCGTGATCGCGACCACCACCGCCAGCCAGGCGGCGGCGGCGAGGAGCGAGGGAGGCGACCAAGGGGAGGAGGGGCCGGCCGTACCGGCAGACGACGCACCGCACACGAGCAGCAACAGCAGCAACAGCAGCAGCCGAAGCGACGAAGCCGCTGCCACCTTGCCCAAGGCCAAGGCCAAGGCCAAGAAGAAGCGGAGGAAGGCCAGGAAAGAAGTGGAGGTAGAAGTGGACGTGGAGCGGGGGCAGAAGACGAAAAGGACGATGAGCGGTGAGGAGGGATCCGCGAGTCGGACGCCCACGCCAAGCCCGGGATGGCGAAGCCGCGTGCGACGGATGTTCTCCCGCGGTGGCGGAAGTGGAAGCGGCAAGGACCACAAGACCGTGTAGAAGTGCCCCCTTAGCTCGAGGATGTGCGCGATGCTAACAACTGTACACAGCGTGTAAATGTATTACCATAATTCAACAACACAAAGAGAGAGGCCTGAGGCAGAGCTCTCGGGGTCGAGCTCTTCGACCGCTGCGAGGAAGACGGTGCTCTGGCGGATGAGCTGCATGCATGGGTGCGGAGACTGCATCAGGCCTTGCCGGTGAGGAAGCTCAGGAGACCGCCAGAAGAGGAGGCGCCGCGAGCGTTGTTGGTGCTACGCCGGAGCATGTGGGCTGCCGTCATGGTCTCGCGGCGTACGACGTCGCAGTTGTGGTCGCTGGGCAGGCGGTGGCCGAGGCAGTACTGGTGGGAGCACTTGGCGCACTGGATGGGCAGCAGCTCGGTCTTGCGGCATCGCTTGACGGAGCATCTCTTGGTCTTCTTGCGCTCCCTGGCCTCCGACTTGCAGCCGTC